GGAGCCTCTCTAGGCATGATAGGCATTTGGGAAGAGATGGGGCTGAGGCAGGTTTGATCCTGCTCTGTGGGCAGAGCCTGGCTGGTTCCCTCCAGGAGTGGAAGGCTGGGACAGCAGAGGCAGGGTGGCAGGGAAGGTGCTGGCACTGGACTCCTAGATGTCCCCTGCTAGGTCCTTGTGAGCCAGCCAGTCCATACAAACAGAACGGCTTGAGTTACAGCCACACAGGGCTCACATGGGTATTTTAACATGAGAAAGGCTGTCCAAAACCACTTCACTAAACTTCTGCTGAGCTTTGTCCTAATGCCTGAGGGGCACCAGCCAGTGACACTGTCAGTAACTCAGCAGTGAGGGGTCACTTAGCAACACTCTGAGCAGCCAGTCTTTGTTTTCCTGTGTGTTACTAGGTGAATGATAACAGAAAGCCTGGTCCAATTACTGTAGAACAGCACATAAACTAGTTTAACAAAGCCCACAACATTAACATTACCCATAGCTATAGCCCTGAACTTCGCAGAAGGTCTGCCTGCGTGTTCAGAGGCCCTTAAGGAAAACTGGTCCCCGAGTTTCAGGATGTGCTTCCTTACAGCAGCTGCTGTGTGGAAGAGAAGCAAGTCTCCTTCCAGGCTGGGACCTCCCCCGGCAACCCTCTCCAACCTTCTTGGGCCCCAACTGGACAACGTACCTTCATGCATTTAACTATTACCATTTGATTTATTTGTATATTCCCCTGGAGATGATGCTTTGCTCACCCCAGCATGTTTCAAATCAGTTCTGTTTGTGGTTGCAGTGGGGCAGGCTGCAGCCTGGGACAGGATGTGCAGAGCTCAGCACTGCTGAAGGCTACAGCAATCCCTGTCCTCACCAAGGCTGATATGCTGGGCTGAACTATCATAAGTGCACTTTTACCATGCATGACAATGCAAAAAGAGGTCATACAAGTCGGTGAAACCTGCCAACGTTTACTTTTTTCTTGTCCCATCAGGCTGGTAATTTCGACTGTACACTTTATCTGTCCTTGTTACATTCAAGTTCCAGTTAAAACTTGTTCTTGAAACACAGCTTGTTGAATCATTATTTTTATCTCTTGGTGTTACAGTTTTACCAAGTTGCTAATCATTAAGAAAATTTAAAAGACCAGGTCATACTTATTAGCTAAATGGCTGTTGCTTTTTAGTTAACATGTGAAATATATCCTCATACTGTGGTTAGCTAATAATGAAATATAATTAATAATCTCTTGAGAAAGCATCTTGTCAGCAAGGGGTTTGACAGTGTTTTCCTAATGTGCTGACGTGACAGCCATTAAGACTCTTCTTTCGGGTCAGAGAAATGGCTAATGATATCTAGCTTCCCATTCTGTAGGCATAATCTTAAAATTAGTTTGACTTTCCTAATCCAATAAACTGAGGACATTTGGCCCCATTAACACTTTCCACACTAATTTATCACAGATTTTCTGCCTCACTTCAACTTGTTTTTCATCCCTGGGAAGCACTCCCCTCCACCTCCCCAGTCACACAGCTGATGAGGATGAAGCTAACCTCAGTGCTACATATGCAGGGACCCAGTGTTTGAGGTACAATGCATTTTCTGAGGTGCTTGATGTCCTTTTTTTTTTCCACTGAGAGCTGAAGAATTACAAAGCAGGACATCAGGTCTGGATCCAGCAGCACCTGTAAGCATGAGACTTAATTTAAGGTAACTGTGTCTGTGCTCAAGTGTTTCATTAAATCCTGAAGCAACACTGGCAAATTTTATCTGGAGGCACGGCCTATATAGCTGTGCTGAGAGGGAAGGAATCTCCTCCCCAGCAGAGTGGCAATAAATTTGGCTGTAGATCCGCAGTTGTTAAATTTTACAGGCTGTAGAAATAACTGTGGACCTGAAGCTTGGGCAGTGCCTTGTGGCTTTGCCTCCATTTATTCTGTTCATGAGAGTGAGTGGCTCTTGTGGCTATGAAAAGCATCATGGCCTCCAGGTCATAGGTGGGACATCCCTGTATTAGCACTGCTGCAGCCCCAGGAGGAGGGAACATCTGGAGTTACTAAATCTTTTCCCTCTTCTTAGTGGGAGTTACAGGTGGTTCTCACCAGCTTGGTGTCCCTGCACTGCCACTGCTTGCCTCTGATCTCCAGGGTGTGCCCAGGGTGAATTTCATGGGGAATTCAGGCATTGTGGCTGTGTGTGCACACCTCATCTGATGTTTCTCTGGCTGGATGCTTGTGTGGAGCACAGAAAGGTAAGAGTGGTCACGAAGCAGCTAGAGGCAGTGCTCCAGCAATCTCTAAGGATCGTCCCAGGGCACACAGCACCTAATAATTGTAGGAACCATCCAGCACCTCAGAATCCCTTTCTCAACGCTGAAGCAAATGCACAATGAGTCACTGGCACTGCACAGAAAGCAGAAGGTGAGCGGCAGGATTAAAGCAGTGCCTGGAGCAGTATGGGGTGCGTGCGGCAAGGTCACTGCAGAGGCTCTTTAATGCAGTTCATACTATATAGAGAGACTGTATGTAGGAACTCAGAGGGTCTGCTGAGCATGATGATGTCCTCTGGATCATCAGTCCCCAGCCTCTCTCATGTTCTCCTGCTTGAGGCTGCGCCAGAAGCCAGAGTGAACCCTCACACCCAACAGGCAGGACACATCAATGGGACACCAGGTAAGACAGCTGAGCAGCTGAAACGGAGACACTTTTCAGGCTAGGTCAGGGTTGTTTACACTGCTTTGCTCATGACCAGTTATTTCTAATCTTGTGACCTGAACCAAATCCTGATGAATGAGCCTCCCTCTACTTTCCCAGTGCACACCCAGCGCTGAGGGCACCACGAAGACTGAGTAAACTGCTCACGGCCACTCTAAGTGACCCCCTCTCAGCTAGCAAGCACGGCTCTCCTCTGTCACCCTCCTCTGTCCTCCATGCACCCAGGCCACCACCCCTGGGTGTTGCAGGACATGGCTGCCCTCCTTGTTGCTCCCCCCCGAGATGTATCACAGTATTTACAAATAAATACACTTTGAAATCATAAAATCATGGAATGGTTAGGGTTGAAAAGGACCTTAAAGCTCATCCAATTCCAACCCCCTGCCATGGACAGGGACACCTTCCACTAGACCAGGTTATTCAAAGCACTATCCAACCTGGCCTTGTACACTGGCAGGGATGAGGCAGTCACACCTTCTCTGGGCAACCTCTGCCAATGCCTCAACACTCTCACAGTAAAGAGCTTCTTCCTTTTATCTAACCTAAATCTCGTGTTTAAGGGGAGATTAAATCAAACTGCTGCTGTTGTATAGAGAAGTGAGATAATCACATTAGTACTGTCAAGAAACACACTTTAGAAAATAGATGTTGATCCAGACAAAGGAATGATGCCTACAAGCAATAACTGATGGAGCTGATTTCCTTTTTTTTTTTTAATTGAATCTTGAATAAAAGCTGTCTTGAATACATTTTGTGTCTTGAAAATAAATAGAATTTACAGCTGCATTTCAGTAAAAAGACTTGATTTACTCCAGAAGATCTCTCAAGTAATCCAAAGTAAATCTGTTGTGGAAAATCAGCCAAATGTAATTAGTTCACTTATTTGTAGGTAAACAAACACACTGCACATGTAAAAACACTTAATGCCAAAGTCTCTGATTATCAGCTGACATGGAATTAAAACGGGCAGTTCCCCAGAGTGAAGTGTATCATCTCTAGAGCGGGCTGGGTGAGGGACCATACACTGAAAACCCTGGTAACGGAAGAGAGCCACCATCTCGACCTGCTGGAGCATTATAAAGGGGCCCCACGTAAATGAAAGCCAAACTTATCTCCTTGGGTACATGCTGTTCAATTCGGAGTGGCATTTGTGTAACCCAGAGTGGGACCACAGGCAAACAGATCACACAGGTTAAAATGAATTAAATAAAAAGATCCCATGAAGAACCATTTAAAAATGTATGCAACTTACGTAGCAATCCCATTACAACACAGACAAGAAGTTAGGCATCTCAGAGCAGGCACCCCAGGACAGCACACTGCAGCCTGTGTGGCTGATGGCAGAGGCCAGCTCTGACAGCGCTGCCACACGCACCCTGGATTTGGGTGTTTTTCTGTTTCTCTGCAGTTGATAGGTGCTCTCTATGGCATCCCTCAGGGCTGGGCCCATTCACCAGCAGCTTCACAGGAGTGTCTTCTGGTGAATTCGGTTTAACAGCTAAAGTACTGAAGCATCTGACTTGGAGGGTTTTAATAAAATTGGTTATTGTTTGGCCTCGTTTTGCTCAGGATCCGTGTCTGGCTCTGTGGCTGCGTTCATCACCACAGACCTCTCCTCAGGCAGAGCACGGAGTGGAAGTCAGAGGCTAACGATGGCTGTGCTGTTAGCACTGCGGATAAACTGTCAGGAATGGAGTCACCCGAGTCTCACATCCATTAATGGAAACCGGCTTTCGCCACAGCTTCTGAGCAGTTTCAGACCCCTACGGCTGACTGCTATGCGTTTGCAGAAAGCTCTCCTGATTATTCTGAGAGGGGAAACAACAGCCACACAAACCCGCTGTGTGTGGACAGTTAAACACAACTCATGAGGAAGCCTTATCCCGCCAGGCTCTGGAAACACACATTTCTTTTCGAGTGCGTTTAAAACCTAGTTTTGTCGCCCGGAAGCCGCCTGACCACCCTTCACAGAAACCGACCGCCGGAGCCGCCCAGGACACAAGATGGCGGGGGCTGTGTGTGGTAGGAGGCGCACAGCGCCGCCTAGCGGCTCAGAGCGGCCACACGCCGGCGGCGCGTGGCGGAGCTCGCCTCGGCGCAATGGCGGCGGCGCCGCGCGGCTGGAGAGAAGGCGCGCTGAGCCCAACGGCTCTCCGTAGGCGAGGGGCGGGGTGAGGGCACGCGAGAGGCACCCCCAGCACGTGGTCAGCCGGCGGGCCGAGGGGGCAGGGCCGGACCCCGCTCCGTGGGAGGGGGGAGGGTACGGGCCAATGAGCGCGCCCGCCGGCGGAAGCGGGAGGGTGGGGCTGGGCGGTGCGCCGTGCCTGCGCTCCTCGCCGCCTCTTCCCGCCGCCCGCCGCAGTGGTCGGGCGCGTGTGCGCGGCGCCGTGACCCGCCCCGCCGCCGCCCCACCCGGCACCGGCCCTACCGGCACCCCCGAACGGGCTCGCAAGGTAAGAAAGGGCGCGCAGCCGCTGGGGGGCCAGCCCCCGGGGCTGCGCGCTGGTGGCGGCTGGGCCGCGGCGCCTAGGCGACGGGGAAGGAGGGGTGAGGCGAGCCTATTGGCGGGCGCCGTCGCTACCGGGGCGGGGAAGGCGCGGGTGGGGGGCTCGCAAGGGGCTCCGGCCTGTGGCGTGCGGCGGCTCCCCGCCCGCAGGCACGTGTGTCAGAGCTAGGCGGGCCCATCCCACCCCGGGGCGCCGCCATCGCGCTGCTCTTCCCCGGAGGAGGTGGTTGGGGTCCGTCTTCCCCTCGGCCAGGCTCTTCCCGCCGCCCGGGCTCCGAGCCGACGTGTTCTCTCTCGTTAGCAGCCCCTGTCTCCAGCCCCCCGCCGCCATGGCCGACGAGCTCGACTTCACCACGGGCGATGCCGGCGCCTCGTTCACGTACCCTATGCAGTGCTCGGCGCTGCGGAAGAACGGCTTTGTGGTGCTCAAGGGCCGCCCCTGTAAGATCGTAGAGATGTCCACTTCCAAGACGGGCAAGCACGGCCACGCCAAGGTGAGCGGCCTCGGGTAGGCTCGGCAAGCCTCAGTCTGTTTCACAGCCCTGCGGCTCCCAGCCCTCGCAACGGCATCGCGCTCTCCTGCGTGGCTAACCTAGACGGGAGGGTGTAGCGTTTCATTTCGCAGCGTTCTGTATCCCGCCTTTGCCTTTCTCGCAGCAGTGTCACGTGTGTGTCTGCACTCTAGAGCTGGCTCGGGGATGTTCGTTAATGTAAAGTGTGAAGGGTCGAGGAAAGGGGGTGGGTTGTTTTTTTCACCCAACTTGTTAAAAAGCTTTAAGGATGATAGTGCTAAAGCCTGTTTTTGTAGTGGGGGTAGAGCAAGTTCTGGAAGGGGGCTGATGAAATCACTAGGGTGTGGTTGGGTTGTGCTGTCGCTACCCACCAAAACACTTTGCTGTCTGCCTGGGCTAGCAGACTTTCACTATTGTAGCGCTCAACTTAAGCACTTGTACTCAATTCAAGCACTTACTCGAGGAGCCGTGTTTCTGTTACGTAATCCAGAGGAGCTCAGCAAACACTCATTGCCTCTGTGGGCCTGCTCTAGCCCTACTTTGCTGTCTTGCCTTGCTGTTGCTTTGCTTTTTTCAGCACTGAGTGAGGAGTATCTTGCCCCTCCTGTGTCTCAGAAGGGACATTCTTACCTGCTGGCTGGGGCTACAGTCCTGCCTAAGCAGTTGACTTATGTATGTAGCTGTCTGGAGCTCAGACCAAGGCTAGACTCTCCCTTCAGTAATTCAGCAACACTTTATAGTGGGTATAGTAGAGTTTAGAGACAGATCTGCTACAAGCACCAACTAGTGGTATTTATAAGTTTCTGGACCTTGTATGATACATGTAGGTGGGCAAAACATTTAGGATTTATCAAAGCTAGAGTATACTAAGCCCTTGCCAGTATTTTCCTTTCTCCCACCTCTTGCTTTTTTTATGGATTATTTTAGATCCAGTTCTCTTAAGAAGTGGTTGTGAAAGGGTTTGAGAAGGCTTGTAATCCAAGCACTAGCTGTAGGGAGCAGCTACTGCTAGCACCAAGGCAGGTGGGAGCTGCTTTAATCTCTGTGCATGACCACCTCTTCTCTTCCCCTTAACCCTCATGTTGTCACCAACACTGTTGTGTTTCTGGGTACTGGAAGTTCTGAGTTTTCTTAAACACTGTGTACTCTGAGCTCTAGCTTGCTGCTGTAACACTACAAACAGCTATGGACGGTAACAATGGCTGATTCTCATGTAGTGTTCCTATAGTATGCTGTGAAAAGGCGTGAAAGACCCTCTCTTGGTGCTTGGGCTGCTTTCATACCACAAGTAAAGGCTCTAGGCAAAAGCTGGTATTACCCACAATCTCTTAGAAAACTGTGTGGAACCAGCAATACTGATGGCAGTGGCATCTTCTAGGCATTCTCTAGGACCAGCAGTAACTGATGGTAATTTTCTTCCCTTGTAGGTGCATTTGGTTGGTATTGATATCTTCACTGGTAAAAAATATGAAGATATTTGCCCATCAACTCATAACATGGATGTTCCAAATATCAAGAGGAATGATTACCAGGTGAGTTAACAATCACTGTGTCCTCCCACACATTAAGAGGCTTTATACTCCTAATACCACACATAAACTCTCTTCATCCCAAAATCTGCCTCAATTAATTAAGTACTGTTGTCAGAATTAAGGGAACTTGCCTGTATAGACGTGACGTTGCTGAACTCCGCATTTACTAAATTCTTAAAACTCTCAGGCTTACTGATGGAGAGCTCCTTACTGTACTAATCTCATGTTACAGTAGCATTCTTTAGAAATGACAGGTAATAGACAATTCAGAACTGTGATTTTTCTCTAGTTCGTGTTGTAAGGTCACTTCTTTATTCTTTGTGGTACTGGCATCCTTTAGAATTTAGAGTTTATCTCTGCTACAACTTAATATTAGTTAAAGGATAATCAGGATCTTGCTTCAAGTAAATTTGAATCTAAGCATATATTTATATGCTTAGATTCATTTATAATTCTGCCCTTAAACAGAGTAGATGAAATAACAAGACAGTTTAAATTGCATCTGATGCCAATTCTAACTTGCTACAGTGCTTTCTACTCCTTGTGTGGAATAGTTGTTCTCAATTAATTTTGGTGCTCCCAGCTCTGTACTGAAATACATGTATGCAGGGAACTTGGCAGACTTCTGTAATGCATTCTGTGATACAGACAGTTTGCTCTTAAAAGCAGCATGGTTCAGGTTCTCAGTTGTAACATATCTGCTATCTTCCCATTGTCCTGGGACTAGTTCTGGCCAGGAACTGATACATCAGCCTCAGCTGGGACACTGCAATTCCTCGACAAAGCCAAAAATCGCTGTGTTAGCAACTCAGAGCTAGTGCTGTTTGAATAAAGTGTGACCAGCCTTGTGCTGGAGTTCAGACCTTCCAGGAGATTCTTAATGTTGGTGATCTTTCATTGTTCTTGAGTCGTCACTGCTTCTGAAATTCTTGCTGTTTATCAGACTTGTCAGGGTTGCCTTTTGGGTTGACAGTTGTGTCTTCCAAGTTCCCTAACCTGCTCTGTTGAAATAGCTGCTACCCTTAGCCCAGCCTTCCAGTTAGGCTGGAAACAGCATTGTAAAAGTGGCCCAGAACTTGGTGGATGTTCCCTAATTTATTCATTAGCCTTTAATGTAAATGATGGTATCCTGTTGTACAAATGAAGGTATAGAAGTGTACATACAGGTCAACTATTGTGTACTTTGTGTGCTTTATAAAAGCAATGCTGTTCAGTGAACAGCATTTCAGGTACTGTTTCTAATTCATAGATGTAAAAAGCTGAACTCATGATCTGGAAGCAGGACCTTTTTTAAATCACAAGGATGGGTTTTGCAGTGCCCTGTGTACTAAGAAGTAACCAGCAGGGTTCTGGTGGTTTTTGATAGCAGACTAGCTTTTGCTACAGTTGCTCTAGATCAGCTCTCTGAGTTGTTGTTAAACATTGACTTAAATTAGGTCCTTAACTGTTACACAGTACTAAAGAATTAATGTAACAGGTGGAGTTGACTGCTTTCTGCTTATCTTCAGCTACTGTCTACTGGTGGCTACTGATGTTAAACTTACTAAAAGTGAAATTCTCTTCACAGCTGATAGGTATTCAGGATGGGTATCTCTCCCTGCTGACAGAAAGTGGTGAAGTTCGTGAAGATCTAAAGTTGCCAGAAGGGGATCTTGGCAAAGAAATAGAAGGAAAATTCAATGCCAATGAAGATGTGCAGGCAAGTATAGATGGCAGACAGGACACGTTATGGTTAATTCTGCCTGAGAAGTCATACTTTGATATTGACCACTTGTATCTCTGTGAAGGGTGGGTAGAGAAGCAGGGAAATTGGTTCTTCGAGATGCAGAAGGACTTTTTTGTACTGGTGCACTCAGTATGGCACTGAAGCCTGGCCCAGTTGTCAGTAAGACAATAGGTGTAGCTCTGAAATATCTAGATAAATCCTAACAGTCCTGACCACACAGTGTGGATTGGAGCCTCCAGGCTTTCTTAATTGCTGACAGGTATAGAGTTTTGTGACATAGTCTGGGTAGTCTAATTTGCTGTTAGCAAACCTGTCTGCAGGTAGCTCTGCAGACTACAGTCTGTGCTGGACCACACCTAGTCACTGTCTAGGCTCTGTTGCAGGAGCTTGTTTCTCTTCCTCTGTGGTATGAACCTCAAGCTGCTGGCCAAGGCAACATGGCAAAGGGAAGGCAGTAGAAGAGCAAATTGGTAGGAAGGGCAGGTACTGTGGATATCTTTCTAATGGCTGAATTTTTACCAGCTTCAGCTTCTGTTTTTCTTGAGAGATGGGACAGATGTTAAAATATGAAAATCTGTAACTTCCTCTGGCAGAGGTTGGAGCTTACTTACTTACCTTGTCTTTTCTTTCAGATATCTGTCATAAGTGCAATGAATGAAGAATGTGCTGTAGCCATAAAGCCTTGCAAATAAAGAGGATCACCAGGCTCGGGCAGCTGCTCAGGTCTGGACAAACCACAGATCTATAAATTTGGTTCCTATTGTCACCAAAGCTCTGGCCTTCACAAGCAACCTCATTTCTTTTTTGAATTGTTAAAAAGCAGTGCTGGATTCTGGATTAGTGTTGCAGGCTAACTGGCAGTTTTCAAAATCACTGAGATTTTAATTCCTTAATCGTAACTATTTTAACATTCCTGTGGGTTTCAGCTATGGATCTGAGAAACCAATCAGGTGTTACTAGTGAATATATTTTTATTTGCTTGAGCAAAACAGTGTTTGTCTGTATGAACAGACAAAATACAGTATTCAGGGGCTTTTAGATAAGCTGGTAGGTATCTAGGATTATAAAGTGACCTAGAGCACAAATAGTATTTTTCTTGACATGTTTAGGTAGAACTGACAATAAAACAATAAAAGTAGCTTTTTTTTTTTTTTTTTAATGCTTAAGTATTTTGTGGATTGGGACTCTTGCAGAACTGTAGGTGCCAATCGCAACTTTTAGACCAAGAAACTCAAGTGATCAAAAATGCCAGCTGGCTTGACCAAGCCCCAGTGGCCATGTGCAACTTAACTGTATTACCTCTGTTTTCTTCTTTGCCAACTTGTTGGCTTATTTTGATGATAAAATGGTGTCAAAAGCCTACCTGTGGTTTAGGCAGGCAGTTGGAATATTGGGTAGATGAGACATAGATAGGTCAAGGGGACACAAAGGTGAGAACGGATGTTAAAGCTATAGACTTTCACTCGAGGCCTTTGTCAGACTTGAAAAAAATAGTTCAATTGCTTTCCTTTATTTTATTTATCTTAAACTATGAAAGGGTGACAAGCTCCACGGAAATCTGTTGCAGTGCTTCCAGCTTTAGATTTTAATCTTCAGGTGTAGACCATATTTTTGTAGCACAGGGACCACGGGTTTTCTCAAAAAGTGGGACAAACTGTAGCATCGAGCCTAAACTAAATGCATGTGATTCTTTTTAAAAAATAAAACTATGGTATTTTCAAACTATAGACTTGACAGACAATACTGAACAACCATGGCTTAACTATAAAAGTAAGTAAATTGCTACATAGTTATGAAAGCTAGCTCCCATCCAGGGGCGTTATGAGTCACTGAAACATGCATGCATGCCTCTAGTTAGTAGCTTAATGGGCAAACACAAGGCTTCATAGCAATAGTTAATGGAAGGATAACTAGTGTTCCTGTTTAAGGCGTTCAACTTGAATTCTAAAACTTGGTGACTCTTCATGAGTGGGAAACTCTTAGCCTGTGGTTCAGACCTCTCTTCACAGTTGATAAAATTGCTTCATGAGCTTGCCTTAAGCTTCAGTGGCTGTTGGCTGATTGAGGATAACTTTTAAGCATGTAGCATTCTGCCCTGGATACATGCTCCATTCACAGTGGGCCGTGAAAGTCAGAGGTCATACTCCTGTGAACTGTTTAAAATGTTTTCAGCTTAATAGTATATACTCCTTAATCCCCAGAGGGCTCATGGCAACTGTCCTGAACTGCCCTTGTACATACTATGGCAGGGCTTAGCAAATCTTGGGGGCCTAATGTATATGGTGAAAACATGTGTTTTCTACAGGCTTCTTGTGACAGGGAGAGCAGTACCAGTGAAGGTAAAGACAGCAATAAATATACTCTGGTAATAAAGCACAGTTACCTGGAACACCTGACAGAAGTAAGAGACTGCCACATGCTCTTGCCTAGCACAATGCACATTGCAGGTGAACTTTATAAAAACGCCTGGATTGAAATGGCAAAACTGCTTTAAAAAAACACCTGTAGACACAAGAGATTGAGATGCATTCAGAATAGTTTTGACATGCATGCTGAATAGTTCAAGCTAGTCTGCACTGTGCTCCTTTGTTTCTCCATTGAAAAGGTACCTGAAAGACAGGCTCTGTGGGCTTTGGAGGTGATGGTGAAACCATTGATGGTATTGACAGCAAGGTGAGCTGTGTGGGAAGTCATAGGTTGCTATGGCAAACTAATGCAAGTTCTAATGCTATCACTGTATTACAAGTACTTACAATATGCTTGAAAACTGCAAGACTCTGATTTGTCCGTGTTCTGGTAGTGCTTTAGTTTACTTTCAGGTGCCTGTCTGTCCTCTAAAACCTTGTTGGAAGACAGGTATTTGATGCCACTGGCCCACAGTCTGAGCATTTACTTAACTTGCGAGCTCTCCAGGACAAAGGCTGGATTTTGTCCTGTTCCTACAAGTGGGGTTCTGGTCTCACTGGAGTTTACAGGTACTACAGCTATCTAAAGATAAAGGTTTTATGACCTCCAGCTTGCTGGAAGAGCCTTCCTTGGGACTTACAGATGTCCTTCTATTGCAACCTTCAGTTCTGCAAGATTTAAATGATTAAGTACTTCATTATAGGTTTGTTCTTATATACTTAGTTGTCTTTTGTGAAGCACTTCGAACACTATGGAAGTGCAGAGCATTTGCTTGTCATGCATGAAGTTTCCCATAGTTAATAATACATAAGCATGAGTTAAGCATAATCGCAAAGTTTCAGTAAGGTTAAAAGTTGCTTCTAAATTAGAACATGTATTTGAGGCATTTTTTTCCAGAGTAAGATGTTTCAGTTTACTGTCAGAATTGTTTGCAACAAACTTTGTGATCAGTAGTTCATATAGATGCGTATTTTTAAGATCCCTAACCAAATGCTTAGGGAAGTTCTCCTTTCATAGCTTTACTTTAAAACAAATCTTACTGATGTACTTGTTCTGTAGTACTGTCTTAACACTTAAATTGTGTCAAAACTGAAAACTATAATCTTCTAAAACCTGATGGCAATTGCTTAGAGTAAAGACTGTGAAACCTAGGAGGTAAAGAAAACTATTCCCAGTTCAAATAATGCATTTTTTTAATGGCTCCAATTCACTGAGTTTCTCCTACTAATTTACAGAATTGGGAAAACCACAGTGTTTCCTGCCTCAAGTGTTGGCAAGTAATACATTAAGATTTCAATAGATCCTTCTAATTTTTGCTTATAATGGTGGTTTTTCAACTAGGCTCTTGCTAGTTGAGCCATGTTCTCAGGGCTGTTCTTTTTTTTAAGAAGTTAGCTGAATTTTGTTTTGACGTAACTGCTTTCAAGCCTCTTGCAGGTTTTTCTAATCCACAGTGTATACAGAAATGGTGCACGATCTGTAGTTTCAAAATACAGGTGATTTTGCATAATCTGTAAAGAATTCAAACTTGTTGACAGTTCAGACTCTTATGGTTACTGCAGGTCAGTCTCACAGAATTCAGAATTCAATAAATCCCACTTTTTTTTTGGTTGAGTAATTAGAATGTAGTTTGTTACAGTAGAACTAAACTTCAGGAGAAAAGGACCTTGTTAAGGATATTTCAAGTATCTCGCTTATACACAGAGAATGTTAACGAAGGTGTTGATCCTGGAGGTGTTGTAGTGGGAGCATGGTGGAGCATTCTGCAGTCTGGTGTGGGCATGCCAAGATGGGCAGAGGCCTCTCCAGCACCTACAGTCTGGCCCTACAGTATTTGGCATCTGAGAGTAACTTGGTTTGTGAGTTGAAACCCGAATGTTTGCTGTGTATTGCTGTATCGCAGAAAACCCCTGCTGTCCTGTGCTGTATATTTAAGCGTTATTGTTTGGTGTGGCTTTCAGAACTCTGGGGAAAGAGGAATGATGGTGATGACTGCTTTTCCTGGTGATGGTGAAAACCAAGCCCTGTAACTGGTGTGAGCCGGGAGCAGCAGCCCTGGTGGTTCAAATGTGTGTGTGTTTTGGAAGCTGTATTGTTTTCAACACCATGCCAATGATCAGGGGAAAGATGTATGTACACTGTTTTGCTCCAGAACTAATAAAGATGTCAGTGCTGCGGGGATCTGGGTTGCTTCAAGGCTGAGTGCATCTGCAGGCTCCTGCGCTGACCTGGCTGCAGTGAGAACACTGTTGTCAGCCCACGCGCCCGGAGGAGAGCGGCGCGGCCAGCGGGTTGTTACGAGAGCAAGAGAACCGCTTGCGTTCCTGTCCTACAGAAATAAAATCAGAACTCAAACACACGGCTGCCTTCCTCATTCGATATTGCCGCCCCGCCGCGAGCGTAACATGGCTGCCGGGGGCGGGCTCCCCCTCCCAGCTGCCTCTGGTAGCGCAGGCGCTCTGCGCCGCTTGCATGCGTGGTGACGTCACCTCCGGGACTATAAAAGCGAGGCGAGCGATTCGCTTCTTCCTTTCTGCGGGAGCGTGGCGCGGTAGCATGGCGCCGGTGAGTGCGGGCCCAGACACAGGGGGCGGGTGGGCCGGGCCGCGGTAGCATGGGACCGGTGAGTGCGGGCCCAAACACAGGGGGCGGCTGGGCCGGGCCGCGGTAGCATGGGACCGGTGAGTGCGGGCCCAGACACAGGGGGCGGGTGGGCCGGGCCGCGGTAGCATGGGACCGGTGAGTGCGGGCCCAAACACAGGGGGCGGCTGGGCCGGGCCCGGCCAGGCGGTTTGATGACCTCGCCGTCGGGGGCGAGGGGGCCTGGGATGAGTGGTGGCCGGCGGGTCCCGGGCCGGGTGAGCCGGCTGCGGCTAGTCCAGCTGCCCAGGCGAAGGCCCTCTGCCGTGTCCCGCGCTGATAAAAGCTGCTGGTGTGGGTGTTATGGATAATGATGGGTGTTCTTCCGGTGTTTTAGCAAAAGGACAGAAAATCAAAAAAATCCATCTGGAAGTTTTACCTTGACTTGACCCATCCTGTGGAAGATGGAATCTTCGATTCTGGGAATTTTGTAAGTCGTGGTTTGCTCATACTCCTGGTGCGCAGTTTTTATTATAATCTTAGTACGATATCTGGATCCCAGCTCAAAAGTTACATTCTAAATTAGTAAAATCAACAGCTGTTCTTTAAAGTATTGGTGCTTTTGAAAGCTTAGTTGTATTTATAGTTAAGATGGCTTATACTTGTCCATGAATAGAACTGTTTTAAATTAAATACTGGTTTAGCCCAGGCGTGACTTCTTTAATTGCACTCTGTAGACTATTACTGCATTGTAAATACTTGATATCGGGACATCAGTAAATGGTGATTTTTAATATTGCTATATGGCTAGGGTCCCTTCCCTAGTTCACATCTAGGGTGCCATTCCCTAGTGTTCTATTCCTTTAATGTTGAAACAGGAACAGTTCCTAAAGGAGAAGGTTAAGGTCAATGGAAAAACTGGAAACTTGGGCAACACTGTTCATATTGAACGCCTGAAGAACAAGATCACGGTGACATCCGAGAAGCAGTTTTCTAAAAGGTTGGCATATGTTTCCTTTTGTTGTGGTTGTGATATTGAACATGATGTGCTTCAGATACATACAGAGGAGGTGTTGGCTCAGACCTTCATAGTGCTTGTAAATGTTTGTGGAAGACATAATTCAAACAGATCTCTAGCATTAGATACCAAAAAAACCTCTGCTTTTTAAAACTTAGGGCTTGAGTGCAAATTAATACTCTCTAATATAAGCATAATAATACAGAGATGCTTTGTATATGTTGTTAGAAGTGTATCAAGGAAAGATAGGCTTTTAAAAGCCATGCTGTATTCATATAATGGGTGGCTGTTTCATTACTTGCTTGGTTGTATTAAAACGTATGTGTATGCAGTACATGCTGTTGCAGAAGAACCTGTTGAGTCAGATGAAGCGTTAAACTGCTCAGTGTGTTAGGGTGTGCAGTGGATGTGTGTGCTGATGAGAGGTTCCTTCCTAATGAGCCATTCCTTCCCTGCAACCCCCCTTCATTTGTTGGTACAGATACACAAGTATCTGTCCTGTTAGACCAAGGTTTAGAACCACTTCTCAGTGCTTTTGAGTTACTGGCATTGTGCTGTGTAGTCAGAAAGCATCAAATAGCAAATTCATAGGTACCTGGAATGAAAGTACCCTGTTATATATGGTGATTTTTAATGAATGGATATAATCAGTGTGTTGGTCCCCTCCTGGAGCCATGTCTTGAATGGAGCGCAGACAGCAGTAAGGGTTGTTAAACAAGAGAGTTGTAACATATAATTACTGTTTTTAAGGTACCTAAAATATCTCACCAAGAAGTACCTCAAGAAGAATAACCTGCGTGACTGGCTTCGTGTTGTTGCATCTGACAAGGAGACCTATGAACTACGCTACTTCCAAATCAGCCAAGATGAAGAAGGATCGGAGTCTGAGGAATAATTGAAGCTTAGCTTTGTACTACATGCAGTGTACAAAAGACAAGAACATCTATTTATAAGAATACTTAACTTATTGGTGAATAAAGACTTTGTACCCTGTTTGACAGATCATGGGTATAGTTTTCTAGCCTTTTTTCTAAGTTCTAATTAAAAACCAGCATGGAGAATTTTTTGATTTGCAGTTTTCCTTCCACTGTTAGAAATCAGAGCTGCTCAGTGTGGTGTCAAGAGTCCAAGTAGAAAAGGACTGAGCCCTTCAGCCAGTATGAATGTAGGAGGACAGTGACATCAGTGTTTAACCGTTTTGGTAAAAATAACACTAGAGCTTCCTGTGACTGGAAGTACCAGCTTGTTCTGCTAATATATGTGAAGCTAATGATACAATATTTAGTAAAAGTTTAATTCTGTTTGTTTAAAAACAGGGTTATGAATTTTTATAATAGTTTTTTATTCTGTGTGATTTATTCAAGTCTTGAATTGGTTGTAGCACAGTGTTGAAGTCTGGTGTTAGTAATGCTTTATTAATATCATAAAGCGAGGATCCATGTAGGCTCTGATACTGAACTTTGAGCTTGAACAAATCTGCTAGTTAAGGCTGAATTGTGCCAACTAAATTGTTTCATTTTCTGGTGATTTTTTAGTAATTATTTCAGCATTGTTTTTGCTGGCAAATCTCTGAGACAGACTATTTAGAGAGTTACAAAGCACAAAGCAATGCATTGACAGTCGCATGACACCCACTTGCTGTACCTAAATCTAAAAACTACAGAAGGGGAGATGAATGTTAGCAGCAGCCTTAGATTTTCTACTTGTCAATGTCTGTTCCTGAAGGGTGGCCCAGGGAGAGGAGAGGAGACAGTAGCGACTTGTGTAATCCTTGCCATATTGATGTGTGTCATTTTGCTGTTTCAGAGCTAGCTAAAAGCAGTGAGTCTCACTGGCAGCAAGGCTAAGGATTATTTCCAAGGTCCTATGTACTGAGCTTTATATGCTTCAGTGGAAATAAAACACCTGAAGTCCTGGCCTGTGATCTGGAGCACTGGATAATGCCAGAGCACTGCCGTGAGTATCCCTATTTGAGAAAAATCAATCAAAGCAGAAAATAAAGGTGGTTATGTTCTTCCTGTTCTGGAAGAACAGAAGATTGCTAATGCTTTTAGAAAGTAGTTATGTAATACAATATATATAATATATATAACTGTATAGTTATATAATGCTGCCTGTATTGAGCAGACAGCATTGTTTTCCACAGTAAAGCTACAAATAGTTGAAAACTATCTGGTCTGGTTTTGCTGCACTAAGTTAAGCAAAGGGCATGACTGACAGTTGTATTTCAGAATCCATTCCCACCTGTTTTTTCCATAGTTGAGCTTTTATGTGACAATATATCCTGAATGCTAGACTGACACAGCAAAGCTGCTCTGATTAAATGGAGCCAGCACAAACAAAATTGGAGCTAATGGAATCATGTTGCATAGTTGTTCTTCCTCCTAAAGCAGGCTGGCATCTACCCATGTAGTTGTATGGCCCAGCAGATACAGATTGTCTGTAGTCAAAAGACATGAAAACAAGGCCTGGGATTTCAAGCAAAGCTACTCATTTCATAGCTGGGGTTGGAGGAAAACTGCCAAGGCAGTCATGTGTGTTGTATTACTCACTGAGCTTCACTGCAGTGACGATGGAGTCTAGGAATTCCTTTTCTGATGCTTGACAACATGGAAAACTTGAAAAACCAAATTCCAAGTTTCTTGTAAGTGTGGATCCAGCGTGTTTTCATAAATTTAGAAACCTTTTCCTTCCTGCCTCTTCAGATACCAGTCAAGCATCTTTGTTTTATTGCTGTGTTGTCCAAGCTGTGATAGCTGTATCCTGAGGCCTGTCTGGCTCTATGCTTCTGAGCGTGCAGGCTGTTAGAGCTTTCTCAGGCAGTTAGGGATATTGAGTCATGGAAAATCAGACAAGCTCTGGAAAACACAGTGATTCTTTCCTAACTTCATATATTTCACAGCTGAAGGGGGCAGATGCAATGCAGGTGGCAGGCAGGAAACAGACCTTGTTTGCATAAAGTAATTAATACTATAAAATTAATGCTATAAAATAACCAGTTTTGTTCATCTTTGTTTAGAAAGTTAAAAGATCCTGAACAGCTTGAAAACCGACAGAATTGACAGAATTTTCCATATTTAGTGCTGGACAAGAGCCCAGAAAAGCCCTGCTCGGAGGACTGGGCTGTCCTCATAGCTGCAGAGACACGCTCCTGTGTCAGCCAGGCAATGAAGCTGAGGGAAATACAATGCACCCACAGCATGAAGGCTTCACAGAGAACCAGGGCTGCTGCAGAGTTCGGTCCCCAGGGCTACATAGTAACATGCTGTCGTGGTTTAAACCCAGTTCAGCTACTGCTGAACCCAGGACACATGCTCTGGGTGCTTTAGGATTTCCAAAAAGGGATAAGCACAAAATGAAGCAGGAAGGAGTGAGTTACGGAACACCACTCTGATGCACCTCCACCCAGCTGAGACCCCTGGTCCACCAAGCCAGCACTTCAATTTGCAGAGGAATAATCATTGCAAAGCACCAATTGAACCGGTAGCACAGCAGGTGGGCCAAGGCCAACACGTGCAAGCTCAGGGCTCAGGAGAACAGTGTCACTCTAACTTTTACATGGCTTTAATACAGCAAATTTTTTCAAAAATATGTTAAAATATATTAAAAATATGTCTATATTCTCACCCATTTTTCATTTAAAGTTTCTCCATTTCATGTAAAATACTTTCACTGCTCTCCTCCAAACAAAACAAGTTTATGAGAGACCTCCCACACATGGAAAATTTCAATGTCTGGCAAATAAAAAAAAAAGCAAACAAATTTCTAAGCCTAAGAGCTACACGGCTGTTGCCAGAGCAGCAGCACCACCACATAAGCTGCTTATTATGAGCATACAGAGATGTTTTCTTCACCATCAGTCTCCATCACCCTTCCTGCAGCAAAACTATCACTGATTTCCAGTAAAGAAAGAGCAACAAAACCCACCAATGTCACCAATCGTAACACCACTAATAAAAGGTACTTCTACATGTTCTTGTATACCCATATGCTTTCTGTCCGTCTACCCTTCTCACCTATAGACCCAATGAAAAACAGCTTTAACATGTACCCAAAAGCAGCAGGATCAGAAATAAAGAGGTAAATAATAGCAGGAAATACGTGAAAAATGTTTTGGGGTACTATGTCTACAACAGACCCAGCATGTGTCGGATATTGAAGGAGGCACAGACTCAACATATTCACATAACATCAGCTCAAAGTAATTAGAGACAGAGAGGCCTGTGGAAAAATAAATAATAATGGCTTCAATGTACCCAACAGCAGGAAGCAAGCTTCAGTGGTGGGAGTGATCCAATTACACCAAATAAAGACAAAAACACATAACAATTATTTATTTTTAAAGATAAAAAGAAAACCCTGAGATCAGAAATGTGCAGATCTAAAAGGCCTTACGATATTGAAAGTAGTCTTTGTCCCATGAGCTTTAATAGCTATGTCAGATGAAGTGTCTTGTCCTGATCCCAGTCCCATGAGCAAGGGGCTGTGATTGCCATTAGCAGGTAAAGACTGATACCTGTCACAAGGACCACTCTGAGCAGTTAGATTCATAGGCACAAAAGCCGTAACACAGTGCTGCGAAAGCCAGGAGAAGGAGAAACAGTAAGTCAGAGGCACCAAGGAAGCTCCTGGGGACACATGGAAAGACCCTGAGGTGGAAGAAGGTGGCATCAAGACAAACTGGAGCAGATGTGCGCCCCCAGACAAGGCTGGCTGGGAAACACTTCAGCCCTCAGCATGTTACTGCCTGTGATGGCAGGTCTTCCAGGGAGAGCTCATGTGAGCCAGTGCTGCACAGTGTGGTCACCCACCCTTGCGGGCAGCACAGAGCTGCAGGGCTTGGCAGGGATTTCTGTAAGCAACATCCTATTCCAGCATCTAAATCCAGCAGGCATCTCCTGCTGCTAGCCTCCGGATTGCTGCCCAGCTGTCCCACCGACACACGAATGCCTAATTCCTGTGGCGCGTACATTCTCGGCAGGATGCTGCCATAAAACCACTTCCAGGCTTGCCTTGGCACCTCAGCTGCTATTTGAGCCCTAACTCGTGCTAAAGCTGCTGCTTGAGGGAAATGCTGTTGCAGAGCACAGACCATAGGTGGGAGGAGCAGCCAGGGCCAAGCTGCTACCAAATGGCCCAAACACCCTTCAGGCATCTGTAACATGACCCAAACACCCTTCAGGAGTCTACATCATGACCCAAACACCCTTCAGGCAGGATGCTGTGAGGCCCTCATGGAGGCAGTTGGGGGGGGAGGGGGGGGGAGTCGAAGGGAGGTGTTTTCATGACCCCTTCAAGTCTGGAAACTGCCCACAGCAGCTTTTGCCCCTCTATCCCTTTGCTCTGGGGGCTAATAGACTCACGAAGTGCCAAAGAGCCACCAGCTGGGAAAGATTTTCCATTGCTGTCCATCCATGCTGAATTTAAACAAGCACTTAAGAGAGAAATGTTTTAAAAGCCTATTAACAGATCTTTTTTGTTGTTGTTTTTTTTAACTAGGTAGTTTAACTTGGCAAGACAGTTCAAACATCCCATCCCACAACAGTGAGCACTAAGCATGATTTAAGTCTTACCTTTGTTACAATGTTCTTGCCATCAGGTTAGGAGTTTGGTTGGGATTTTAAATGGGAACGTGGGTCAAGGAGCATTTTTTTTACACAGTGGCCTGATCACTGTGCCAATGTTCCCCATGCACTGACGGGATGCTTTGAGCCAAACCTGCAGGTGCCAGAGCTGACAGCATCAGGATCTTCTTAATTGCTGGCAGTAGGTCAGGAAGATGGAAGATGGCACTAAATAATAAGTACAGTAAGGTGCACAAATAGCAGAATCGAAAGCAAATGACTAAAATGCATTAGTTTGATGCAGAAGGGCAAGATGCTTCAGGGTGCAGCGCTGCTGCCAGCTCTGGTGGGAGCCACCCCAGCTGCCCCTCTGCTCCTCAGCAAGGACAGATAAGGGGTGTTCAAACATCCTTCTTCCTAACTCAGTAACGTTTCCCAGCAAAGCTGCATTCATCAGTCTTCACCCTTTCAGCTCATTTAGAAAATATTTACACTGCTGGAAGATAACAGCCCTGAGACACAGCAGGCTGGGAGCTTCCAAGCTTCCAAGCTTCTCCCCAGCAGCTGTTTTGGGACCCCTTCTCCTGCCCCAGCCTGGGATGCTGAGACCCCTACAAGGGGTAAATACCCTCACCTGGAACTCAGCCGCAGCAGGGCACTGTGAGGCTGGTGGAAATAACTTGCAGAGCCCGGGGGTGGTCAGCAAGGGGCAGCTGAACTGGGGTGATTAGTCTGAAGCCCAAAGCTGGAGGGTTATGCCATTGCTCCTGGCTGCACATCACCCACCTCATAGTCCAGGGACCTGTTTTCTTCCTCATGCAGGTTTTGGGGCAGATGGTAATATGCTGGAAGCAGGGATCAAATCTTTTCTCTGGACAGCCTCAGGAGCAAAGGAGCAGGGATGCTGCCGTAGAGCATCACAGGGAACATCAACCCTCTGGAGGTGATGGGTGTGCTGCTGCATCTTCCACACAGTTATGATATAAGTGTGTTCCATGAGAAACTATACTGAAGCTGAAAAATACTAATGAAAAACACTAATGAAAGCCAACCACAGGAGCCCCCTCATTACACTATCTTTGCTGTTAAATTTAAATTGCTCCAGTGTTTGCTTTCAGGCCTGCCAGACCCCACTGACTTGGCTGACAGGTTACAACTCCATCTCAAGAGGTCTTTGCTAGCAGCGCTGCAGTGAAGAAACCTAGAAGGGCGCTAAAACTTGTGGTATTGGCTCAAAGTCATGAAGTTGAATAATTAATTATATCTTACTCTGGCATTTAAAGGAGTGGTATTTCTCAGCTCTTCTTGGCAGAAGAGTTAGACATTAATTCATTTCTTAAATTAAAGTTTCAGGAAATCATGTGATGGCAAGGGCTGAAATTTTAAGCTAATACATGGTAAAAGTTGTAGTGGATCTGACCGAAGGTCCTGGACCTCAGTGCCCTCACTTCAGAGGGGGTCAGGAATAGGAGGCAGCATCAGCAGTACCCACCAGACTGCAGCAGCTCATGGTTAGGGACCTTTCAAGCCAGAGCTGGCATCTATATGTTCAATAACCCTCGCTAGATTCCTTTCCTACTGTAAATTTGTTCAATTATTTCTCCAAACACCAGTTATTGCCAGGCTTGCAGTTACACAAAACCAATGTATCTGTGAACTCAGCAGAAGATGCAGCCAAATAAAGCAGGCATGGTCTGAAGATGATATGAGCGCTGCTCAGCAGGGAAAGGAGGAATGAACAGGGAGGAGCATTATCTGCCTGAACACTCCTGGCTCTGGCTGCAACCCTCTCGCCTCCTCCATAAGCAAAAGCACATCCATTCATTAAAGTACGGTTGAGTGCCCCATTTCAGGCACAGAATGGGTGGGTTTTCCTGCCTTTGCCCTTCTGCAGACCACTTGGCCCTTTGGAGGAAAAAAGTCCTTAATTAATTTTTGCACAGGATTAATCTGATCCTAAGTGCATGTGCAGAGCCCGGGGCTGGGCACAGGGAGTGAACATGACAACGGACGAGGCCTTGGGTGATATGGTTTAGTGTGAGGTGTCCCTGCCGACGCAGGGCGGTTGGAACTCAATGATCTTAAGGTCTTTTCCAACCCTAACTGTTCTATGGTTCTATATTAAAACCGTACATGTATTTATATAATTATTATATGTAATACCTATTATTTATAACAACACATATAGATAACGTATAAATAAAATATATAGATATGTAGATTACAGGTATATATTATACATAGATATGCACATAAAATATTTTATATTATACATATTTTTTATATACATGTGTGTGTATACATGTATAATTACTAGGGAAAGTGACTTTCAGGGGATAGGAATGATGGCAGCAGTGTGTTGAAAGGACTGTACCGCATCTGAGTGCTGAGCCACCGCAGGGCTCCAGACTCCATCAGGGAATGTAATCACACTCTGTAATTGCACACTGCGGCCACAGAGGTATAACCATGTGTTTGGTGGCAATCCTGAGCACCACACTTTCGGTCTTGGATGAGCTTTATAGCACTTGGAGGTTACAGGAAATCTGCTTTTTCTCAGTGACTTCTGACCTTCAAACCCACCCTGGGAAGCTCAGGAGAGCTCTTTTCCTCTCCCCTCCAAACACAATAAAGAAGCATCAAGCAACCAATGTTTTTGCAGGTGCAGAATTATCTGTTGGGAGAGCAGACTGCAGAGATCATGATATAAAGCTGCAACTTTTCTGCTCACCTTTAGCAGGAAGCCTGTGATCCAAAAATCAGTAAGGCCCCTGAATTCAGAAACTGGGCAAAACCCATAGCTTTTGTTTCAGTGAATTCTGGGGGCCTTTCTGAATCTCCTTACAACGCAATGGCATCAGCAAGGGTGCCCTGGGAGGGGTGTGCAGCATGGTCTGCCTACCTGCACGCGTCTGGGACACTCTTTGTCAGAGTGGGATTGCTGGGACCCAGTGTAGAAGGGGCATTTGGCTGCTGTACACAAAACCTTTGGGGAGAGCTCTGCTTGCTAGTCAA